AAATGTAGCCTACTTCATTACTGTCCCCCTAATATTTACATTTAGTCATTTAGCAGATGCTCTTGTCCAAAGCGACTTACAAATGAGGACAATGGAAGCAATCAAAATCAACAGAAGATTATAATATTATTTATACTTATCGACGTGTACCTTCACCCACATGCTATAGCTAAGATGTGTATGTAGGAATTACTGCGTGACGGTGGAACTTTTAATAACGTTTAAAGTTGCATGCAAAGCAATCCCGCACCATTCAGACCCTGTTATAGTAAATACAAACAGTATTACAGTCATTTGAAATGAATAGTTTGTATGTTTCTACCTTGAAACCGATAAATTGATGGTTAATAGCGCTCTTCTCTTGAGTTCTTCATGGCATAAGTTTTGGCGCGCTAGTACTGAGTAACCAGTGTAGCTCTCAGTGCCCTCTGTTGGAGAAAATAATCACTACACGATTGCTCGGGTACACAGGCAGTTAAAGGGGTCATATGATGCGATTTCAAGTTTTCTTTTGCGTTTGAGAGAGGTGGGGCATAGAGGACCTACAATAATGTACAGTATTTGAAAAATAATGTGTTTTTTGAACATTAAAGCATGTCAACATATTCTGTTACACCAAATACACAAAATAATGATCTTTAAAAAAGCATCATATGACCCCTGTAAGTCTGGCATTTTTGCAGTGTATTTGATTGAACAGCATTATCTTTTACCAATAAATTAACCCCTTTGGCTATACACAATTTAAGTACTATTACAAGCTAAATAGACCACAAAAGGTTAGTTCACCCAAAAAATAAAGTGGCATGTTCGCATTTACCATAGTAAATACTTTTGACTTATCCTTCAGTGTGTAAAACTATAGTAAATGTTTTATCAAAGTCCTATAAATGACAAATTTCTGACACCAGCTCATACGGAAACAAGTTCAGTTTTTATTGCCAGGATCCCTCAGGTTCACATATACAATACTTGATCAATCCCTATTAGTTAAAAGAAACAAGTACAGCTCCAGTGATCACCATACCATTTCTTTGTATGTTTTGACTGGACGGCATATTCCTGTCGGTCCAGTCATTATTCTTTCCGGATATCACAGACCTGTGTGCATAGTGTGTGGGTTTGTGGTTTGCCATACACCTACATTTTTAGTTTCATGTGACAATACTTATTTATAAAAGTGCCTGCTAGTGATTCTGTTTTGGGAGCTGATCATTTATGGGATTGGTAGATATAATGCTATTTACTGGCAGATTTGGCAATTTAGAACAGTCATTGACATAACTACTAATAGGGACTAAGCTTAATCTGTAAATCTGTCCTCGGGCATGACATGGCTAGCAACATAACATAAAAAAGAGCAACACATCTAAGAGTGATCGCTAACAAAGTGGAAAATGCACATTCTTAGGAGTGGTTTGGATTGTTTGTAAGAGGTTTTAAATGCACAGTCTGCAAATGCCACAGTTGTAGCGGAACGACGCGAAATTTGGCACTACAACAATCCACTCGTGTTTTCCCAAGTTTATCTGCATGGTTTGCAAGGCTTGGTTTCCTGGAGTGACTGTGGCTTTGTTCCAGTGAAAGCAGGCCGTACTTTAAAAGACCTTACAGATGTTTCAGTGCATAAGCATCACATTTCAAACAAAAGGTCCAACATTTTGTAAACAACAGTAAAACTGAATTGTAACACAAATCAAACAGTAAAGCATTACCATATGACGAAAAGCATTTATGGCTTCATAAAACACCATACCATAACAAAACGACAGGGATTAGTTTGACATTTACAAACCAGTCCCTTTAAAATACATTTAATCACAAGTCTAAATGCATTTGTTTTTTGTTTTTTTTTTCTCAGAAAGGTTCTGCAGATGAAGCATCCTGATCCAATCCATAAATAACAACGAAAGTTATTTTTAACTGGAAACCACTTGGGTCGCCACAGCAGTCCAAGAGTTAACATTTCAGTATCGAACAAAAGGTAAATTCACAATACAGCTTTAACAATAAAAAAATAATGATAAAACTGTTAAGAACATGAAAAGATGGAACGTCACACGTGATTTCCAAGCAGCCACGATTGAGTTCCTTTCCAGTGTAATTTCAGTAGTTTTCCACTAAGGAAAATGTCTTAACATTATTCCAGTAAAACAAAATATGACCACCTGCTATCATGTCATGCCTTAATACTCTTACAATTAAAATAACATAAAAAAAAATAAAAACATTCATTGGCTCACAAATTTGCATCCCTTCCAGTTCAAATATACATATCTAGCAATAACATCCACATTTTCAAGATTAATAAGTTATTACATTTTTATAAATACATACACAGATACAGAAGGTGGCTTAGAAATTGCTTGTCGCACTCGCGTGCTTTCACAGCCTCCTATGATCTAAAAGACTATGTCGCACACAGATGAACAGGAAATAGTTCTTTTACATTGCTCTTTTGCTATGTAAATCCCACAAAATGCATCACCGATTGCATCAGTGTACTTCCTGTCTCTCTGCATTCATCAAATTCAACAAATTCTCCACTAATGGCAACAACTAAACTCCAGCTCCATCTGGATACAGATTTACACACATCAGAGGGAAGTAACACTTATTTTGGCTCTACACTTCTTCACAGAGAGGAATAAAGATATAGATTTATAATGTCATGGTAATACATCAGAATCTGCTGGTACCAGGTTATCACAGTGACTCTAAAATAATAAAAATAAAAAATAACAAAAACATTTGAAGGGGAGAAGACATGATGCACAGTAATGCTGAAGGATGGTTATGTAACATTTCGTTTCCCTTTTGCGGTGGTGTCGTGCGTTTAGTTTTCGTTCGAGTGTGTGCAGGCAAGAGTCCAGTCATTTTACTCTTCTTCTCGTCACATTATCAGTGCACCTTTAGGTGAGGTAAAGAGTGATATTTGGGTGCAATATGGAAAATAAAAGACAAAATAGCAGTTTTATAAATATGTGCTGTCTCACAGTTCAGCATAAAACACTCTAGGCAATTTGTGTGAGAACAAAGTAGAACTGGTCTGGCTGCAATCTTTATAAATAGAAATGCTCTATTTTAAGTCATGCTTTCCTTAGTAACTTTACACTAAGAATTGTTTTCTTCTCAAATCAAGAGCCCTACTTCATCTTCAAGCAGGCGTCTGCAAGGCTCGTTCAGATTCAGTGGGATCAGGCATAAGGCTTCATACCAAAAAAAAAAAAGGGGGGGGGAAGAAATTTCAAAGATCACGTCATACACTTTGTCCCATTACTAACATCCAAATGGACAGCTCTACAACTGTGAAAAGGCATGAAATTAGCATTTTGTCTCTGGTGTGTGTCATAAAATATACAAAGTCCAGTGAATTATCCCAGTGCTGAAATCTGATGCCTGAATTCTGAATTCAAGTGGCTATTTAAAGCAGGAATTAATTTTCACCTAAAATTGTTAGTGCTAAAATAAGAAACATTCCAGGTTCAAGTCAATTACCATAAAAAATCATTTAGGCTTGTCTGGCATGTTGTACCCTTGTGAAAAATACATTTTTTTTTTACTTTAAAAGAATAAACTTAAGTGTGAACTGAATGTATTGTTTTCAGACACTTAGCATGCTATGCATTATAGTAATAGTTTAAATTTATATTAAATGCAATTTATAATTGATGCAATTGCAATTAATTTATATTAAATGCAAAAAGCACTTTAGAGTGCCTTTTTGACCCACTTAAGTAGCATTTATTTTCATGTAATTTCATAATTGTCTTGTCTTTGGAATATGGTTAAAATGTACTGTCGAATGCACTGATGAGCATTTACGATAAACTAAAATATAATTTCTATTGAAACTTGTAGGTCATGTATTTAAATACATTTGTAATTACACATTTGTAATTTAGTACATTCAAAATGTATTCACTTTAAATGCAATATTGAATAACGCACTACAGTTAACATTATAATCAAATGTCAATCAAATCAAAATAAGTTCTTTAAAACACAACAAAGGATTACTGAAGCTGATTTAAAATGTACTTTAAAAGAAAACTTTTAAATTGACACTGTAACTTTTTAAAAGTGTACTTAAGAAACGTAGACATGAAAGTGTTTCTCTTTAATTACACTTACATTAAATGGCCTTTTGTTTCATTTCTTATCTGCAAGTAAAACATTTTTAAATATACTTTTAAGATTTGAAGTACAAGTGCACATTCAACACAATTAAGCACACTTCTTTTTCACAAGGGTAGTCACAAACAAAAAATTTACTAGTTCACCAAAATGCACGCATTTTATGATTTCCATTGTCGGTTTGCATCACTCCTGATCTTTTGTTAGCATATTCACTCTAAAGATAAGCAAGAAGCCTTTTACCCACAGCCAACAGAGAAAAGGTTAGAACGGGCTCTACCTATTTCTGATACTGTGATGGTTAATACAGGGTTACAATCACACTGACATGTTAATAATTTTCCTCTAGTATATACACTGAAGGTCATAGTCTAAAGCCACCTATTTCAACACAAATAAGGTGAATGTATTGCTCGGGATCTGGACACGATCGTTTGCTTGTGACCCTCCGGTTCACTATGTAGGAATCTGATGAAAAATACTTAAAGATAATATGATTTTGACCATTTCATGTCACTAAATGTTTTCCAAAGTCGAATCTGAGGGTTGCAAATAATGACTTTTGGACAGTCGGATGTTTTTGAACAACGTTAGCCAATGATTGAGATCAGATCTTGCACCAAAGGCTATCATTGTTTACAAGCTGTCACAGTGATTACTACTTAAATCTAGCCCTGGAAACCTTTTAGGGTGCAACAGAGATGTTAATTCTATGTATAATTTGTTTGTTTTCGTGCACTTTCTAGTAAGGCTTATCGATGGTCTTGTCGCTTAAGAGACATTTGTAGGGATTTGCTAACATTTTCATTGGCCTTTTCATGCGTCTTCTGATCTTTCTCGCTGCCATGGTTTGGCCTTCGATGCTAGCAGGGTTTGTTGACGTTGCAGAGCAGTTCGGTGACTTTAATGAGCCGTGCCACGGTGCTCTGGGACTCCTCCTGCAACCGCTGGTTGTTCTGCCTGAGATTTTGCACCTCTGCTTGCAGTATTGCCTTGTCCTCTTTCTCCTGTGGGAGGCATGCAAACATAATGACTTTCAGGGTCGAGCGTTCTCACTCTGTATTGGCAGGACACATCCACGCCACATGAGGGGTTGCTATGCCTGAATATGTCGGTGGAATGACACACAGATGAAGAAGACAATGGCTGAAGCTGGGGAAAGGATGGATTGCTTGACTTGCACATACAACAAAATACACCACATTATTACATGCTGCAATGCAAACAACTGATCCTTTGATCACTTGCTATACAAAAAACATATATAACTGCATTTTTTATATGCAGTTTTGCATGCATATACAGTGTTTGGTGTCCGTAAAATTATTAAATATTTTTGAAAGAAGTGTCTTATGCTCACCAAGGCTGCATTTATTGGATCAAAAAACAAAACAAAAAAATAATATTGTGAAATATTATTACAATTTAAAATAACTGTTTTCTATGTAGGCCTAAATAGATTTTAAAATGATGAATTTTTGAACAAAATAAATAAATGCATCTTACTGACCCAAAACTTTTTTATATATTTGATTGGCATTTCACAAATGACAATACAATAAATATCAATATAATTTAACAAATTTCACTTGGAATGCATATTTAGTAATTATTTGGACAGCTTAAATTTCCATTTCTTGTGTGGAAAAAGTTAGCACACCCCTACATCTTAAGTAACTACAATCAAATCCAACAAGTGAAAATTAGTACAAAAATAAATCACTAAACAGGATGGCCACACTTAATATGACCCTTATTATACTGCTCTGGTTTGTTCGTAAACCCTAAACAAATAGCACAAACAAAAGAAAAATCTAAATGTCTTTGTTACTTTTGATCAATTGAATGCATTCTTAATAATAAAAGTAATCATCAAGCAATCCTAAAAAAATATGTGCATAATGGAGGACTGACAGACAATTATACAAAATATCTACAGGTTATTTCTGCCAAGTGGATGCAAGATCGCCTACAAAACTGAAGGGGGGTGCTTATTTTTCCACAGTAGACATTTTGAATACATTTCTGTATATTGTAAACTGAAGAAGCAAATTAGTAGCTTCTATTAGTTATCTTAGTAAATCAGAACCTGCATGCAAATTAGTTCTTTAT